ACATTTAACCTGAAAAGAACAATGAATGTATAAGGCAGAAATGAATTTTGAGTTAATAATGGTCTGCACTCCATTGTAATTGCGTGCTATGTTAGACGCGCGTCATATGGTCTGTTCCAGTATTTTTTTAAATAGTAAAGCTAGTAAAAGGGAAACATTTTAAAAGCGCTCGTAGAGTAAAAAAATAATTTGAAACGTTCGGGAACGAAAATTTAATAAATATGCCAAAATTAGATGGCAATTCTTCAAAATGAAAAACAGTCAATCAGAAGTTAGTATTCCTGTTTACCATTGTTACTCGGACAAATTTTTCGAGTAAAAAGTTTACAAAGAGAACGCTATTTTGTTTTGTGTTCTCTTAGATTTGGTTCAATGTTTTACCAGTTTTGTGGGTTCATTAACGGGTTTCGAGTAAAAAGTTGCAAAACTTGTAAAATTAGTAGATTCTTTTAGGTTCTGCAACGGAACTACATATATTCTTGACCTCTTAAAAATTTTTTATCCGAACCCAAGCTGTTTTTTTCTTTTTCTCTTTATCCTTCTAATTCCACAAAGGAAACATTCCTTGACTTCTTTAGATATCTTTTTAAAAAAAGCTAAAACCGATAAGAATACTGCACTTTTCACTTCTTTAACAATACAGTTCTGGATGTATTTTTCAATTAGTTCTATTCTTCTTGATCTTATAAGAAGGTGTGACAGAAGTAATTTTGGGTGGTTGGTGGTGGTTGGCGTTGGTTGGCCTTTCCGCACTTTATTAAAAAAAAAAGATGCCGACATTACAAAAAGCACCTTTTGCTAAATCTGAATATGCGATACCTCTTGTGTATAAATTTGGATAATTCTAGTAGAATTTAATTTTTTCTGTTGTAAAAATAAACTTATAATGGAATCTATATATAAATCTAAACCGATGTTCACCAATATCATTGGTTTTGCTCATTGAACCAAATAAATGATATGTGCAAATTTTATCACATTTGGATGATAAATGCGACCTGTAAAGTGATTCTATGCACATTCTCAAAAGAAACCATGGTGGGCGTTGAGGTAACGATTCTTTTAATATTTAGAAAATCAAAAAAGGAAATAGGATGGCGTTTAATATTATTTAAAAAACGATTTAAAATTAAAAAGTAAATTCATTTACATTTGCTTTAGATGCCAAGGATGTTAGAGCCTCAGAATATGACAATGAAAGCCACATTACAGACGGCAGATTGAGCGAGTCACAAATACTATAAAATTTTCTAATACAATGGATATGGAAATAAATTAATTGTCAAACTGGTTTAATTCTAATATATTAGTGGAATATTGGCATCGAATGGCAAATTATAAAAATTGTATATTCTCGAAATATTTGATATTTAGAACACAAAATTTAACTTTTTAACACGGATGATTTCAACAAAGTTTAAGAGAAAACTAGAATATCATAATGGGAACCAAGACTGTCAGATAATAACACTGTGCTACAAAATAACAAAAAAAAAAAAAAAAAAAAAATTCAGGGGTTCTAATGTACCAAATTTGTTTACTTGGAGTTCCTGGACCACGAAAATACCTTTGGTTTTTCTGGGTCACTTCGAAAATTAATTTTATAACGGTAGATATAGAGAAAAACGTGGTTTCACGGATTTTCAATTTGAAACTTGAATAACTTATTTACTTTATAACGGATTTATATTATTTATATTATTATTTTTTTCTTTCGAAGAGTACAATTTTTCCTTTGGCTGAGTTACAGCGGTTGAAATGTGAAAAAATACGCATAAAATGACAAAATTTATTTTTCTTCGGACTGTACGATGAAATTATGATATCAAGCCATATAAGTTTTATTATATTACGGGCAAGAAAATTAAATTAGCTTTCGAAAATGATAAAAATAAAAAAAAAAAAAAAATTGATGACTTATACACATTTTTGTATTGATTCTATGCATACTCTCTAAAGGAAATATGGGTCTGTATCGTTTCCTGTTACAAACCGTTATGTTTGCAACAGGCAAAAGGAAACGAGATAGACCCATAGTTCCTTTAGAGAATATGCATAGAATCAATACAATAATGTGTATAAGTCATACATTTTTTAACCGATTTTTTTGATTTTTATCATTTTCGAAAGCTGATTTAATTTTCTTCCCCGTAATATAATAAAACTTATATGGCTTGATATCATAATTTCATCGTACAGTCCATAGAAAAATAAATGTTGTCATTTTATGCGTATTTTTTCACATTTCAACCGCTGTAACTCAGCCAAAGGAAAAATTGTACTCTTCGAATGAAAAAAAGAATAATATAAATCCGTTATAAAGTAAATAAGTTATTCAAGTTTCAAATTGAAAATCCGTGAAACCACGTTTTTCTCTATATCTACCGTTATAAAATTAATTTTCGAAGTGACCCAGATTCTTTCGTTGATCTTGGTATTCTAATGGATCCAAAATTAAATTTTAACAATCATGTTATATCTATGGTAAATAAATATATAACGAAACAACTATTTACGTCTCTTGTTAGACCTATTTTAGAATATGGTTCTGTTTTATGGGATCCCCAATATGCAATATATTCTGATAAAATCGAATCCGTGCAGAAACAATTTTTACTTTTTGCATTGAGAGGTTTACATTGGAATAGTAGTTTTGTGTTGCCATCTTATACTAGCAGGTTAAAATTAATTCATTCGCCTACATTAAAAAGTATGTTGAATACTATTATGGTACTAAAAATATTAAATGGTAATATACCTTCGGATTTCCTAATTTCTTCTATTAGAATAAATGCTCCTGTCCGATCCTAGTAGACACTATCAACTGTAGACTTCCGCCGCACGAATTACTCTATGGGAGATCCTCTTAGTAAAATGTGTATTGACTTTAACTCTGTATATTCTAATGTAGATTTTTGCTTGAGCGTAGAACAAATAAAATCTAATATTATTGTATTTTTAAATGAATAGTAAAACTTAATAACAAACTGGCTGTTGAAGTAGATTCTGCAGCTCGGTTTTCTATTCCACTCTCAAATCCCATCATGATACGGATCATGGTGTGTACGCGATCCCTACGTAAGGGGAGGTCGCCCCCTCGGTCGGCAGGGGTTGGAAAGAGAGGCGTGGGAACGTCGAGAAAAAAAACATATTGCATATAATTTAAATTCATTTCTGTAAAATGAAGTGTTCTTGTCAAAATCATAAAATATTTGTAATAAATTATAAGTTGCGTGGAAGATGTGATGGTGGTAATGTAGAAAAATAGGTAAAAAAGGGTTGAAGCCAACCAGTTTTTTGTGTTCGTTCCTGATTTGTGGCTAAACAACACAACGCACGCATATGTGATCAGTGAATAAGTTGTAATTGTCCCCATGGACAATATGGTTCTAATGTATGATATTTCGATATAATCACTGCATCCACCCAAAAAGGATGCTGACATTTTGAAGCCGGATTATCGGTGTTTATTGAATTTTTCTTATAATCAGGACGCGCATCCAGATAATGGACAAAACTGATTATAGGATTGTAGAACTCGTGATTTTGCTTCGTTTAGAGTATATCTCATGAATGTGCTCACCATAGCTTATTTGAAATTAGATTCCAAAGACGTAATTTTGGTGAGTAATTTTTTATAAAGAACCTGTTTTTTGAGTCTAAATTTACCAAATATATATCTTGTTTGAAAGGAAAAATTGTACTCTTCGAAAGAAAAAAAGAATAATATAAATCCGTTATAACGTAAATAAGTTATTCAAGTTTCAAATTGAAAATCCATGAAACCACGTTTTCTCTATAAAATTAGTTTTCGAAATGACCCAGAAAAACCAAAGGTATTTTCGTGGTCCAGGGACTCCAACTAAACAGATTTGGTACGTTAGAACCCCTGAAAAATTTTCGTGTCGCACAGTGTAATCGAGATAATTATTTTGTGTTTAACCCTTTGCGCTCTGAAACTAAATATTAAGAAGCTTATTTAGTTTTTTTTTTTGCAATATTTCAACCGTATGAGGCAAATGAGCTTGATTTTCAGATCTTTTAAGAAATTCCTTTACAAACGCAGGTCAAAATTCTTTCGATTTTTACCGATGGAACCTATTTTTTGTATTACGATATTAAGATATGATATACTTACTGAGTATGAAGACACGAAGCTTATAACACCACATCACCAAAGAACAGCCACATTATCCCTAATTATGTCCACTCCTTTTGCCTTAATTCGAGCACATTTAACATGCCGTTGATTAAAGCAAAACCAACAAGATACAACTCGTCGTCTACAGTAACATTGCACAATTCATAAGGACAAACTATTTTAATTTAATTTTATATATGTAGAGAAATATTGGGCTGGAATTTATATTCTTTGAATTTCTTATAAACACTAAATTTGGCTAACCTTTTTCGAGATGTAAAAAGAACAAAATTAAAAATATGTTAAAACCACTATAAAAGCTAATGTAACAAAGGAACAAATTGGAAGTTGAACAAAATGCCAATTAGTATTAAAATTAATAATAAGAGATGGACAGTGGGTAAATACCCGGTGAATTGGGTAAATACCCATTTGTGGGTATGTACTATATTGAATCAATAATACAACATCTTACACCCAATTTCCGAGTTTTTGTTATAAAATTTAGAATGGATATTTTTAAGATACTTTAATGAGGTGGGTAAATACCCGAGTATTTACCAATTTTAAGTTTTGATATAGCCCTCATATAAGATTTTTAAGAATTTTCTTTTGGTATGTGTTGTCCAGTTAATTAATAATAAATAAATTAACAATATAATTTACTTGTAATATATATCGAAATAATTTTTATTTTAATTTTTAGATTGATAAAGATGAAATATATCTACGACGTGTTATAGGTGCGAAGAAAGACCAATACTTCCTTAACAAAAAGGTCGTGCCGCGTACTGAAGTAGTAAATTTGTTGGAATCTGCAGGATTTTCCAATTCTAATCCGTACTACATTGTAAAACAGGGGAAAATAAATCAAATGGCAACTGCAGCGGATTCGTATAGATTAAAATTGTTGCGGGAAGTGGCAGGAACTAGAGTATACGATGAGAGAAAAGAAGAATCTCTCAATATATTGAGAGAAACTGAAGGCAAATTGGAAAAAATTTCCGAGTACCTTAAGACAATTGAAGACCGCCTAAAAACACTTGAGGAAGAGAAGGAAGAGCTAAAAGAATATCAGAAATGGGATAAAGCACGCCGAATTTTGGAGTACATAATACATGAAACCGAATTAAAAGAAACTAAGAAGGCATTGGATGAAATACAGCAACAACGGAAATCATCAGTCGATAAAAAGAAAATGTATAATACGGAAATTCAAAAGGCTCAAGAAAAAATTAAAGATATTCAAAAAAATCTAAAAGAAGCAAAAAAGAATGTAGTAAGTGCAAAGGAGGAGAGATCCATTCTTTTAACAGAGCAGCAACAATTATTGCGAGAAAAGACAAAGTTAGACTTAACTATTATCGATCTCAATGATGAAGTGCAAGGTGACAACAAATCTAAAGAGCGTGCTGACCAAGAGTTGAAAAAATTGAAGGTTACAATCAGTGAAAAAGAAAGAGAGCTGGAAGAGGTAAAGCCAAAGTACGAAGCAATGAAAAGAAAAGAAGAGGAGTGTTCACGCGAATTGGCCCTTAAGGAACAGAAACGAAAAGAGCTTTATGCTAAACAAGGGCGGGGATCTCAGTTTTCATCTCGGGAGGAACGCGACCGTTGGATCCAGAACGAACTTAAATCAATTAGTAAACAAATTAAGGACAAAATAAACCATCATTCAAAACTGGTGGAAGATCTTAAAAAAGACGCTAATGCCGAAAGGGACTTAGGTAAGAAAATAGAGGAACACACAACAGAATTGGAACAGCTTAGATTCCAAATAGACGAACATAACAAGAAGTATTATGAACTTAAAAAAACTAAAGATCACTATCAAGCTACCAGAAACGAATTATGGCGAAAGGAGACGCAAATGACACAACAACTACAGTCGCATAAAGAAGAACTATCGAAAACTGATCAAGCTCTTCGTAGCATGGCTGGAAAGCCAATTCTAAACGGTCGTGATTCCGTAAGAAAAGTCCTAGACAACTTTTTAGAGAAAGGCGGGCAATTCGCTGATATTGCCAATGCGTATTATGGACCGGTTATTGAAAATTTTAGTTGCGATAAAACTATATACACGGCCGTGGAAGTAACTGCCGGTAACAGGCTTTTTCATCACATTGTTGAATCGGATAAAGTTGGAACACAAATTTTAAAAGAGATGAACAAATTGAAATTGCCAGGAGAAGTAACATTTATGCCTTTAAATAGATTGCAAGTGAAAAATCATGATTATCCAGATGATCCGGATTCTATTCCAATGATATCCAAACTAAAATATGACGAACAACATGGAAAGGCGTTATGCTATATATTTGGAAAAACGTTAATTTGCAGAAATTTAGAAAGGGCGACTGAATTGGCAAAATCTACAGGGTTGGACTGCGTAACGTTGGATGGTGATCAAGTTTCTTCAAAAGGCTCTCTCACTGGTGGATACTTTAACACCTCGCGTTCTCGCCTGGAAATGCAGAAGAAACGAACAGAACTGACGGCTCAAATTAAAGACTTTGAAAAAGAGCTTAACAAAATTCGAAATGAATTAAAAATGGTGGAAAACAACATAAATGCGGTTGTCTCTGAAATGCAAAAAACGGAGACAAAACAGGGAAAGTCTAAAGATATATTTGAAAAGGTCCAAGGAGAAATACGATTGATGAAGGAAGAATTGGTTCGAATTGAAAAATATAGAACCCCAAAGGAACGATCACTTGCTCAATGTAAGGCCAGTTTGGATGCCATGAATAGTACTAAGTCGGGATTAGAAATTGAATTAAATCAAGAACTAATGTCTACACTATCTGTCCACGATCAGAAAGAAATAGACCAACTGAATGATGATATAAGGAAATTAAATCAGGAAAATAAGGAAGCGTTTACACAGAGAATGCAACTCGAGGTCATAAAAAATAAACTTGATAATTTGTTAGTTAATAACTTATTTAGACGTAGAGATGAGCTAATACAAGCGTTGCAGGAAATATCCGTTGAAGATAGGAAAAGAAAATTGTTAAATTGTAAAAATGAGTTATGTGCTGCGGAAAAGAGAATAAAGAAGGTCAATCAAGATTTAGAAGACATGGAGAAGAGGTAAGTAAATTTTTTGTTTTAAAATTTATATTATATCGATGAAAATCACGTGTAAATAAAATATTCGTGACAGCACTACTTAAATTATAACGCCCATCTATTCTACCAAATATTAAGATCTTGAATATTCTTGAAACGATCATTCTATTTGTTCTCTTATAGTTAGTAATTCCAAAACTACCTCCATATCTCTACACTACACACCAATTCTGACCGCAACAGAAATCTAGATATGGGAAATTACAAACACCTTTTAAATTCCTTGAAACTGAGGTTTGCAAGCTTATATCTCGCGAAATATGAGCATATGATTGTCAAGTTGTTCATTACCCATCATTCTGAAAAGCAAGCTGATTTACTCCAGCATGATTTATATAGCCTATTTCAATGGTGAAGCCTAAATTGTATGGACTTGAATTTAAATAAATGTAAACATATTTGTTTTTATAGAAATTCTTCTTCGATAAGACATTACTATATTAATGGTTCGGTTTTATCAACTGTAGATTCTTTCGTTGATCTTGGTATTCTAATGGATCCAAAATTAAATTTTAACAATAAATATTTAATAAATAAATATATAACGAAACAACTATTTACGTCTCTTGTTAGACCTATTTTAGAAAATGGTTCTGTTTTATGGGATCCCCAATATGCAGTATATTCTGATAAAATCGAATCCGTGCCGAAACAATTTTTACTTTTTGCATTGAGAGGTTTACATTGGAATAGTAGTTTTGTGTTGCCATCTTATACTAGCAAGTTAAAATTAATTCGTTCGCCTACATTAAAAAGTATGTTGAATACTATTATGGTACTAAAAATATTAAATGGTAATATACCTTCGGATTTCCTAATTTCTTCTATTAGAATAAATGCTCCTGTCCGATCCTAGTAGACACTATCAACTGTAGACTTCCGCCGCACGAATTACTCTAAAATGTATTGACTTTAACTCTGTATATTCTAATGTAGATTTTTGCTTGAGCGTAGAACAAATAAAATCTAAAATTATTGTATTTTTAAATGAATAGTAAAACTTAATAACAAACTGGTTGTTGAAGTAGATTCTGCAGCTCGGTTTTCTATTCCACTCTCAAATCCCATCATGATACGGATCATGGTGTGTACGCGATCCCTACGTAAGGGGAGGTCGCCCCCTTGGTCGGCAGGGGTTGGAAAGAGAGGCGTGGGAACGTCGAGAAAAAAAAAACATATTGCATATAATTTAAATTTATTTCTGTAAAATGAAGTGTTCTTGTCAAAATCATAAAATATTTGTAATAAATTATAAGTTGCGTGGAAGATGTGATGGTGGTAATGTAGAAAAATAGGTAAAAAAGGGTTGAAGCCAACGAGTTTTTGGTGTTCGTTCCTGATTTGTGGCTAAACAACACAATGCACGCATATGTGATCAGTGAATAAGTTGTAATTGTCCCCATGGACAATATGGTTCTAATGTATGATATTTCGATATAATTACTGCATCTACCCAAAAAGGATGCTGACATTTTGAAGCCGGATTATCGGTGTTTTTTGAATTTTTCTTATAATCAGGACGCGCATCCAGATAATGGACAAAACTGATTATAGGATTGTAGAACTCGTGATTTTGCTTCGTTTAGTGTATATCTCATGAATGTGCTCACCATAGCTTATTTGAAATTAGATTCCAAAGACGTAAATTTGGTGAGTAATTTTTTATAAAGAACCAGTTTTTTGAGTCTAAATTTAAGAAGGTCCAAACAAATGCCTTTGAACCCCGCGTGATTTTAGTTTTTTTACGTGAGGAATCTAATGAGCCCAGCCATGTTCAATTCCGCTCAATAAAACTGCGGATATAGGTATAGGTACTGCGGATAGGTATAGGTACCTTGTTTGTATTATCATATTCCCGAATCTGTGTGAAAACAGTTCAAAAATAAATCGATACGCGAATAATATGCATATTTTATCCAAAATTGATTGTGGCGGCACATCCGCGGTTTTTAACCAATCCTTTTAAAATTGGTGTACTTTTGTGTATTTTCATTAGCAATTGCTGAAATCTGATGCGCATAAAATCTTATGCACGTTGCGTCATTTTTAGCCATTTATGTATTGTAACTGCAATATATTTAGCCATTTTTACCGTCGAAACTATTATCAGATGAATGCACCGATATTTAACAATCATCTAAAAGAATTGAAGAAGAAAGCATCGCATATTTTAGTAGATTAAGGCAAAACCCTATTCCCTTAACCAAACTAAAAAAATCAAAAATTCAAAAAACGGTTCGTTTTAATTAAAAAATTAATTGATTTTATTTTCAGATATCTTCATGTTTCTATGTGTTTTTCGCGACAATTTAACCGAAATTCAATGTGATTTGACATGCATGCAAAGAAAACAAATGTGTTTAACCATTTGTGAAGAAATTCGCGAATTACAACAAATAGGAATTCATTTAATTTATATTTGAAATACAAGATTTAAAATCGCTATAACTTTTGTGAGCAGCATCCGAATTTGTGAACGCGAACAGATTTCGAATAAGCATATTTTTCTTAAACTATGTACCGAAAATCAAGAATGTGCTCGCAAAAAAATGTTCAAATGTTTTTTATGGAATTTTAAAAGAATTTTGTAATTTCCCATATATACAACATGTTTATACTACATTTATTACCCTTTATACAATTGTAGTATAGATGTATAAGAATAATGTTGGAGTGTAGGATTGGGGTATGTAGGAAGATTATGAAATTTGTACTTATGTGTACTAAATGTTCGTACAATTGAATTTTGGGTGATCCGAGAAAACTGGAATACTGACATTTGGAGTTAGAATCACTGTTAGGGTATGTAGGAAGCTTTGGAAATTCGTACTAATTTGTACTAAGTTTGTTACAATTTGGAATTGGGGAACCAATAAGGCTGGTATTCCGACATTGAGAAGTAAGACTTCCGTGTTGCAATTGTTCTGTAAGGAAAACACAAATTATTGTTCCTCGCTGGAGAAATCCTTTCGTGTAAGAATAGCTCGAGTATTCAATGGTTTACCACAGGGTCTCAAGACATTCAGTGGTTCCATTAAATGGTATAAGAAAGCTTTGTTTGAATATGCTAATTTGATGTATTTTCTTTTGTATTACTTGCCCTGATATTGTTGTTACATAGCTGATTTACTTAATTATTTTGCTTATTTATTTTTTATACACCCTACTGTGATTTAATGTTAAAATTTAAATGAATTATTATTCATGTTTTTTTAAGATGTTATGTTAATATAAATCTATTGCTAGGTTTAAGATTTTGGTGGATTTTGGTTGGGTTAAGTGGCTAGGGTAAACCGAATGTAGAATTGGGAAGTTTTTGTAATAATGTTTACTAAATGGTACAAAATTTGACTTTGGGTGAATCGACAGGGCTGGAATCCTGAAATTGGGAAACAATATTTATATTAGATTGTTTGATGTATGTACTTATGTGTACTAAATTTGATACGATTTGGATTTAGGTTATCCGATAGGGCTGGAATGTTGAAATTTGGAATTAAGATTGATGAGAATAAAACCAACTGTCTTGTTTGAATGCTGATTCGATTCTAATTAACCTTACATAGCCTAATATTATACACATAAGGTACACGAATTGTCACCGCACATATGGTGTAGTTTGTGTGTGTCAACATTTTCGTGTGTGGGCTGCTATTAATTTTTCATTATTAGCTCACACACACATAAAACCACATTGTAGTGATCCCTGCTCCTGCATGGTTTGATGCAGCTGCGTCTACATTTGCTCTTGGAAACTTCTATGTTGTTGGTCCAATAATTCCCATGCTGTTCGGGCTCCATCTTTTTCAGTTCAAGATCTTCCATAATTTTTGCAGACATTGCGCCGTCTTGTTGTTTTCCTGTTACTGCATTTTAGGACTGTTTATGTCTCTGCCTTCAAACCTTCTACTGCCTTTTTAGCTCTTTCGTATTGAGTTTTTATTTTTGTTCTCACACCTTGTCTTGGAAATAGGAATCGTTATTTTTACCATATACCACTAACTTCTGGTGGTTCGCTCTTGCTTCCTGTATTTTATGTTCCAGGAAACGCAATTTTTCCTCTAAAGCTGCCCTTCTCAATTGCCTGCTTGCACCTTATCACAAATCCCTATTATAAATTCAGTCTGGATGCCATTCTTAGTTATGCCGTACTCTTTTTTCTTGTCCAAAGGGTATTTTCCAATAATATTATTATTTCTTCCCTTTTATTCTGCCCAAAGGACTTGTCTAATAATATTATCTATATTTTATTACCCGTTCTTTTTTAGTTTGCTTATTTTTTTTACCTATATGGTCTTTTTCAAAATTTGCCTCTGCGGTATTTATATATATATATATATATTTTTTTTAATTTGCCTCTGAGGTCTTTATTTTAAATTTGCCGCAGGGTCTTTTTAACTTTTATTTTAATTTTTAATTTGCCTCTGGGGTCTTTTCCATTTTTTTCTATATGCCACATGGGTATTTTTTAATTTGCCACTGGCGTCTTTATTTTAATTTGCCTTTGTGGGCTTTTTTAATTTGCCGCAGGTGTCTTTTTTTCAATTTATCACTGGGGTCTATTTATTTTTCTATATGAAATATTTATATATGTTTTCTTTTTAACGCCTCTGGTTCTTTTTATCGAAGCACCAAATGATGAAAACAACACCAACTGTCTTGTTTAAATGCTGATTCGATTCTAATTTTATTACACAATATTCTTCCTTAAGACCAACCTAAACTAATATGGTGTAGTCCCTATAGATAAGTGTGTTCATTTGTTTGCATTACCAAATGAGCGCACCAACATCTTTGTGTGTGGGCTGCTATTAATTCTTCATTATCAGCTGACACACACATAAAATCACATTGTATTAATATCTATTTACTCAACCCCTGAGCGCATGTTTATGGAGATATCCTTTATTAGATATGCCTCTTCAGCAGCATGGAGTGTTATCAACCTTTATGGGCATATATGCA